CCAACCGCCACGTGGTCCTCTACAACAACACCGGCTTACGTGGTCATCTACATTGCCATCATCTTCTTCTCCTCCTCATTCTCTTCCTTACCACCATCGTTGCCGTCCACCAAAGTCGCCACTCCGCCCTCGCCACCGCCACCACCACAACCTCCATTCTTCCTTGTGAGTTTTTAAAATTTTTGAAATAGATTATTATTTTAATTTCTTATTTATAATTTTTTTGTAAATTCAAAATAATCTTTTTAATGCATTTTGATTTTTTTTATTTATTTATGTGATTTGTTATAACTATTTTAATTATTTCGATTTATATATTTGTAAAATGTGACAGTTTTTGTATTTTTTGTGAATATATTAGACAGTTTTTGTATGTTTTGTGAGTAATTTTTGTATTTTTTATATTTATGTTATATAAAAATATATTTTGAATTTTTTTTATTTTAAAAAATAGATATGACGTCGGTTTTTATAAAAACCGACGTCGTATCTTTTTTTTTTAATTAAAAAGATACAACGTCGGTTTTTCTAAATAACCGACGTTGTATCTTTTAAATTAAAATATATATATATATATAATATGATGTCATTTTTTTGTTAAAAACCGACGTCGTATGTCTTTTTAAAAAATTTAAAAATAATATATGACGTCGGTTTCTAAAATCGACGTCATATAATTTATTTATAACGTCTACGGCAACCACGTCGGCAGAATAACCGACGTCGTATGCCTAAATTAACCGACGTTAAAAGAGTTTTTTGTAGTAGTGGTCCTACCCTCCAATGTACCAAGTTTACTCCCTTAGACTAACCCCATCTCTGCAAATTTGGAATTGGCAAGCTTATATGGCAAGAGATATAATTTTTTTAAAATTATTCTTTAATGCAATGTGTATTGCAGGAGGAGAGATAATTTACAAAATTAGCAATAAGAGAGAGAATTTGCAAATGAGATGTTAAAGCTACTGAAAATGAGTGCCAGCACGCACTTTTTTGATTTTTTTATTTTTATTATTTCTTTTAATATTATTTTATTATTGTATTTATAATATAATATACATGTATGACCCATTTTTTACAGGGATGAAGTTACAGGGATGTTAAATAGTGAAGAATTTGCAAATTTGATGATGTGGAAGTGGGACCCATTTTAGAAAGTGAGAGATATTTGCATAAATAAGGATATCCTTCTTCCTAGGGTAGGATCCCTAATATGAATCTAACTGGGTAAGAGGTTTAGGATTCCTAATTAGAAACTGATTAATAATGGGTCATCTTTCTTCATTCCTAATAGATAGGTCTAGGATTCCTAATTAGAATCTGAGTAGTAAAATGTCTACTTTCTTTACTCCTAACAGGATTAAATGCTTAATTAGAGATAAGGGTCAATGGTTCATTGTGGACCACATTAATTAATCAAGAGAATTCTAACTAACTTAAATTCTTTTAATTATTTGTTAATGAAATAATTCCATAATTAATTCGGATTTGAAGGTCGTAACACGGGGTGTTACACAAGTAATCTCTTAGACTTTTGTTGTAGAATGAATTACTATCTTACCCTTGAGGTACTTTAGTCAGAAAAGGATATTATTGTAAAATAATCTCAAATCGCGTAATTGCCCTGCCATCTGTAGTAGATAAGTCGGTGTAGTTCTAATGGCTAGTTTCCAAAGGCTCTAGTGTAGCGTCTGTCTTGCCAGATCTTCAATCATTACCTTAATTGACACTAAACCTAACCTATCTAATTTGTCATAATAATTCTACCAATTATAAGTTGGGATTTACAATACTACTAACATTTTTTTTTTTCTATTTGGTTTAAGTGTTTACTTTTTACTATTTAAGAATTTAAATTTTATGGAGTAGTTTTGAGAATTCTAGGTGTTATTCATATGATTTGGTAGGGGAAGAAGAACAACAACAACAACGTCGGGAGCTTGGGGAAGAAGAAGACCAATTAGAGACTATAAGAACAAAGGAATGGCTGCTGCACGATGTTTCGGGAAAAAAGAATACCAATGCCAGGACTAGAAGAAAAAATGAATGGCTGGGCTACGGAAGGAGATTATAATTTGAAATTTTTATTTTACTCCGCTATTATTTTATTATTTTATTTTTTATTGTTTTTAAGTCTTTCGTTAGCCGGAGACGGAATATTAACTTCGGAGATCAAATTTGCCACTTCGCTAATAACAGAGGACTAAACTCGAATACGACTATAACTTAAGGACTGAGTCGAAACTTGGTTATAATTCAGTAACTAAAGATGCAATTTTATTTGTAATGGCACACGATGTGTATCAATTAATTGTTGGATAGGAAATTTTCACCATCCCTACATGTGCCCACAACTAATAAAAGAGTTATATTACATTATCGAGTCGGAGTGTGAGGGGGCCCTTAGGGTTGGGGATTCAGCCTTTTGGGGTAAGAGTTATATTACATTTACTCTTAAATTTTACTCTCTCGCTTTTACTTCATGGCTTGACAAATAAAGATTACATATTTTATCGCGGGAGTCTCAGGAAAAGTGTTTACATCAAGAATTTGAGAATGAATAGAAGTTAAGAGTAAGAAATAAAAATCAATGTAATATTTTTCTAAAATTAATTAAAGGAAAAATTGCACTTTTCGTCCCTAAGTTACAAAGTAATTGCAGAATTCATCGCTAAGTGTTGGTTATGCTCACTTTTCGTTCCTAAGTTGTAATTGGCGTTGCATTTTTCGTTCTTTTGTGCTCATTTTTCGTCATTGAGTTATACTAAAATTGAAAATTTCGTCCCTAATGTTTTATTAGTAAATGAATGAAAAATGCAATATTAATAATAACTTAGAGACAAAAAGTGAATATGATCAATACTTAAGGACAAAATCTATAATTACTTTATAACTTAAGGACGAAAAATGTAATTTTTCCCTTAATTAAATGAGTTCTATTACATAGACTTCCAAAATTTTACTCCCTCATTTATACTTCTTGAGGTGGCAAATCAAGATTGGTTATTTTCATCATGTGGATCCACAAAAAAATATCTACAAAAATATGAGAGTACAAATTGAGAGTTTAAAATGGGAAAACCTAGGTATTTTCATAATTAAATACAGATGGTGAGATGGAATGATAGTTACTAAGTTACTACTAATTGACCCTTCACTTGTTCCTATCCTCAACAAAAGAGGGATCCACCGGAAATCCCCTGCAGCCAATCGGCATCAAGAAATCAGGATAAACCATCTCAACCAGCCAATTAAATAAGATTATAAGAGATATTCTTCCAAAGTACATTGCCCTATTTTTGGCTCAAGTGCCATTCCGCACCATGAACTAATTGCGATTTGTCATGCCGCACCCTGACCTTTAATAAGTGTTGTTTGGATGCACGAACTAAAAAAATTTTGTCGCCTAGAACATTTTGCAGGTTTCCCTGTTGCCTGGATGACGTGGAACCGGTAATGTGTTGACGTGGACCTTTTATTAAAGTCAATTCTTATTTTCATCTCATTTTTTTCAATGTGCTAATATGGACCCTGTTCTTTGATCGCGGATTCGCGGTGAGGTCCGACTGCCTGTTCTTCAACCGCGGCGACAATAGCAGCTACTCCCTCGCAGCCATGGCGGCAACGACGACGAAAACCCCAACGAATAATCAAGAAAATCTGGAGGAAGAAGGACAGATCTCGATCTCTGTCACCGAGATTTGAATGTTGATCGGAGAATTCTTCGTCCTCGTCATCTCCATCGGCCGAGGAGATTGACTGATAGTATTCTAGAGCTTTGTCGGAGTTCGTATCTGAATCGCTTTCTCCGACGTTCACTAGCACAAAAAAAAAATCACTAAATAAAAACTCAATTCCGTAAATACTGCGAAGAAGGTTAATCCTCAATTACCTTGGTTGAATTCCGGCGGAGTGTTCGACACCGCGTTCATTGCGCCTCAGCTACAGAGAAATCGATAAGTTGAGATAAATGTTCAAAGCAATCACTTGGGGATAAGCTTAGATGAATGTTCAAAGCAATCGATAAGCTGAGATGAATGGTTGCATAAGACGCCAAAAAACCATATAATACAGCAGTGGTTATTGAAACTGGGTTGCATGGGGAAACAATCACTTTTTTTTTTTTTTTTTTTGAAAATGGGGAAACAATCACTTACTTTGAGTATTTTTTCAATCACTTGCTTCGGCGAGGTGGACCAACCAGGGCTTTGCGGGGGAGCTGGAATTTTAGACGGCGGAGTGGAGGGGGCCGGAGAGAATGCCGGCGTTGGCGCCTACGTCCTTGAAGACCGATATGGTGTCAAGGGTGGATTGATCGTATTCCTGGGAAGATTTGAGGACAGGGGAGTACTGGAGTAGATACCAAAGGTGTACGATAGGTCGCAACTGCATTGAATCCATTTGCTAAAAAATGGATGCGCCGGTGAAGAAGATGGAAAAACAGTTTTGGGTGTTCAACAATCGGCAGTGGAAAAGTCAAAAAATAAGCATGCCATGTCATATATTTAATAATTATTTAAAATAGGCTAATAAAAAAAACTCCACATCAGTTTTTATTACCTACAACTTGTAGAAAATCTGCAAAATGTTTTAGGCGACAAAATTTTTTTAGTTTGTGCATCGAATCATCACTTATGAAATGTGAGGGTGCAGCATGACAAATAGCAATTAGTTCATGGTGCGATTTGACACTTGAGCCCCTATTTTTTGTAGGATATGTGCATTATCTATTTATTTCCTAAAATAAATTTATATATCATCAATCCATCAACATCACAATTAATAATAATATTACTAAAAAATATATAATGCAATTAATGGCACTTACTCGACGGTGATGAAATGAAACAAAGGTTTTTTTTTTTTTTTTTGAGAGTACATGAATTAATTTTCAATTGATTATTCTGCCAAAAAAAAAAGGAGAAAAACAAAAGATTGTACTATTTCGCCTCCCACAGTCCCACCCGCGGCCGCCCTCACACTTTATAGATACAACTTCAGGAATTGGTGCCCTCTGCTTTGCATTTCCCATTTCTTTAGAGAGAGAGAGAGAGAGAGAGAGAGAGAGAGAGAGAGAGAGAGAGAGAGAGGAGCAATGGCAATAGGGTTGGACACAGCGATAGAGGATGTTGCATCCAGGGCAGTCAGCGAGCTTGTCCAATTTGTAGCAAAACATATGGATCTGGTTGTTGGTATAGATTCAGAGATAATCGATCTGACCTCCGATATCGAAACGTTTAACGCCAGGTTGGTGGATGCTTCCAAGACCCCCAGGGCCAATGACCTCCAAGTTATGAAAGTAATTGTGAAGAAGTTCCGATTTGTGGTGGATGAAGCAAAGGATGCGATTGACAAGTACTTCGCTGAGAAGAAAAACCACGAAGACAAGACCTTCACAAAATGTTTCGATAAACTTCCACATTATTGGTCGGTGAATGCCTTTGCCAGTGAGATCCAGTCCATTAGGGCGAAGGTCAACGCAATTATCCAAAACCACGAAAGAGACCTCCTGTTCATCATGCAGTGCCCAAACAGTGGACAAAACAATCACCAATTCCGTTTCCAGGTAATGCAAAAACTATTCCTTTATATTTTGATATTATTTTATTGATATATACTTGGTTTTTTTTTCTTGAATATTAAAATAATTTTGTTAATATATATTTAAATAAAAATTTTAATCTCTGCACAACGACAAGCTAATTATAATTACTTTATTATTTTAAATAAAATGAATTATCATAATTAAGATGAATACCCACAATTAGTACATGCTTCACATTCGGTGAGAAGTGAATCCATTTATGAATAATTCAGATCTTCCCGTTTTCAAAAAAATAAAAATAAAAATTCAGATCTTCCCATCTAATCCCACTAATCCCCATCATTACAGTGGAACCCTGATCTTCTTGTACATATACAAGTACTAGTTTTCCTATTTTACCCTTTTCAAACGCATGGTTTCCTATACTTTGAAGAGTTATTATTATTATTTTTGATTCTTTGAATTTCGTGGTTATATCATATTTGATACTCACATTTCAAATTAACTAATTGTAGTCCTCTACACACACACATAAGGGATTTGCAATGTACTTTGAGAAAAGGGGCAGAAAAATAGAGATAGAAGAGGGAGAAACTAGGGTTGAGATGAGGGAAAAGAGAGAAGAAAAAAGGAATTATGTTAGCATATCCTTCCACATAATACAAAGCAAAACTAACCAGCTAACAACCCACTGCGTAACAGACTTCCCAATAAAAGAAGGGAAAATACTATATGTACTCTCAATTTGTACTCCTCTTACAATTTCATGATGTAGACACATTCTCTGGGACCCACATGATGAAAATAGTCAATCTTTATTTACCATGTCATGGAGTATAAGTGAGAGTAGAATTTGGGAATACATGTAGTAGAACTCTAAAAAAAATTTGCTGGAAGGGACTAAAACGATGTCATCAAAAGGAGCTCAACTGATTCCAACGGTCAGCTAGAACGACGACATTTTGGCATGCTTCATTCAATGGCTTTTAACTACTGATCAGACGATGTCGTTCTACATTTTGCCTTCCTAATTCCCAGCCATCTTCTCCTTCCTTCTCGCCTTCTTGCCGTTCCTTCCTTTGCTCATTTTATTGTAATATCCTTCCATGGTCATTACATGATCAAATGAGAATAATCACCAGGTGAGAAGTGTGGATAAATTCGATTCGTCCATTTAGCTGGTCAAAGTGTCAAACAATTAAAATTAAAGAAAAGGAATAATGGTCAAATAGGCCACTGAACAGAACACGATAATTTAATTACGTCATTGAATTTAAAAAACTACAATTAAATTCCTAAACTAACATTTCATGCAATTTCTTCCAATTTGCCAGTTTTCCCAGTTTTAACAGGTTATCGAATTTTAAAATGCCATCGAACTACACACTAAAATGCAATTAGGCCATTGAACTCAAAAAACATGCAATTGGGTCCCTGAACAACACAAAAATGATGCAATTGAATCCAAAATGATCTGTTTTACTTGTTAATTTGCTGACGTGGAGGTTATAATATTAAAATAATAAATTTGTATTTTATTAAATAATTTTAAATAACAAAACTATTTTTTTTTTTTTAAAAGGAATAAGGTTCAAATTGGCCACTGAACGTAACATGAAAATGCAATTAGGTCACTGAACGAAAAAAAATGCAATTAGGCCCTTGAACGCTCCAAATGTATGCAATTTCACCCGATAGCAGGTTACCATCAATTTTAGCTTGTTACCTGCTTACGTGGCAGTTGGGTTGGCATTTTTAATAAATTTTAATAATAAATTTTTAAATTTAAAAAAAAAAAATTTGTAGTAATTTTTTTTTTGGTAGAATATTTTTTAATTTTTAGTAAATTTTTAAATTTTTTTAAAATTTATTAAAAATTATTAAAAATGTCAACTCAGCTACCACGTAAGCAGGTAACCTATAAAATTGATGGTAACCTGCTATTTGGTGAAATTGCATACATTTGGAGTGTTCAGTGGGCTAATTGCACTTTTTGAAGTGTTCAGTGGCCTAATTGCACTTTTTTTTGTTCAGTGGCCTAATTGCATTTTTAGGTTACGTTCAGTGGCCAATTTGAACCTTATTCCAAAAAAAAAAACAAACAAAGAAAACGCCAAGGCTCTGTTTGGTAATGTTCTCAAAATAAGCTCCTAGCTTAAAATAAGAGCTTATTTTGGAACGTTACTTTAGGTAGCGTTTCAAAATAAGCTACTAGCTTCCTAACTTTTTTTTTTTCCATCTTTACCATTATTATTTTAAAATAATGACATATTTTAACCTTATGAATTAAAACTCTTTCTCTTCCCCTATCCCAACTTTCACGTCAATCCCTTCATCTTTATTATTATTATTATTATTATTATTATTATATTATTATTATTATTATTATTATTATTATTAATGTTATTCTTAAATTAGCAATATGGCTTCAACCAATGACAATATTGCTACTTCATTATGGGATGCTAGATCATGATCATGCTAATAGTTTTATTTTAAAAAATGTTTACTTTTTTTTGAAGACGAACTGTTAAATTTTAATATGTAAACAAACAGTTTAAATTTTATGAAGATGTCATTTTTAGTCTTTTTACATTTATCAATTTATCAAAAAGCTAATTTTACCAAACACTTTCAATCATTATAGCTAGCTTAACAGCTCTTCAATTTTCAGCTCCGAGCTTATAGCTTTTCAGCTTTCAGCTCCTTTTCAGCTATCAGCTCCTAGCTTATAGCTTTTCAGCTATGTTTGCCAAACAGAGCCTTTGTCTCCAAGTTGCCGGATTGAGTGTAGTGATAAAAAGTTTAGCAAGATCCTTGAATTTCTAGATTGGTTTGTTAGACAAAATTCAACCAATTGACATGTAATATACATGTAACATAAATAGTCTAACCCTATAGCAGAAAGCCAGAAACGATAGGATTGAGTGTACCTCTAGGCATAGTTGATATCTTCATTGTAGGGAGTATGTTAAACATTGTTGTCTACATCTTAATCTCTTATGCAACTAGATGGTGTAGCATGAACTGTCACAAGAGACCCGCATGGGCAGCTCAACTGGTCACAGAGGTGAAACTTTGGAAGAATGAACAGGGATCGAGTCTCACCAGCGGCAGTGTGGGAGCTACCTCTCAAAGTGAGGGGGGTTCCTTGTGCGCAGTGAGCACTGGTCTAGCTTCTGTGGTTCATGTTCAGTTGAGTTACCATGATTTACATCCTCCCAAATGCTCTGTCGGGTCGGAGTTGGGGTTCAGCCTTTTGGAAGAATGAACTGTCACAAGAGCAATGGGAGGATCATGCTTAAATAGTCTGGGTTACCTTATTGGTCTACGACCTCATTATATTGCACCATTTAACTTGTGCAACATTAACGAAAAGTTTTACATGGTTAAATTTGAATATGGTATCCATAACATCAATTCCAAAACCAAAATTAGAATTTTTGCAAAGTAATTTGAACCTGGAGTAGTAAGTATTGTAATAATGATTTGTAAGTGAACTGGATTGTAAGTTTTCTCCTCTTAGCACTTGATTAGTACGTATCATTGTTTTCATGATGGTGTTTTTTCTTGAATTTGTTCAGACCCGGCCAGTGTTGGAAAAAGTAGAGGTTGTTGGCTTTGATGGTGATTTAAAAACCATAAAGGCTGTCATTATTGAAGCATCTGATAAATTTAATGTTATTCCAATTGTGGGGATGGCTGGAACTGGAAAAACTACATTTGCTGCAAAACTTTTTGATGACCTGGACATTAAAAGCAAGTTTGCCCTTTGCGTTTGGGTTCACGTTTCACAAGGTTTTGATAGAAAACAAAAACTCATTGACATCCTACATCAAATTAAAAATTGTACAGATGACTATAGTACAAAATCTGGAGATCGATTGAGAGATGAAATAAAGAAACTTTTAAACGATCAAAAGTACTTTGTTGTGTTGGATGATGTATGGGAAAGAGAAGATTGGAAATCTTTAAATGAAGCCTTCCCTAAAAACTCGAAAGGAAGTCGAGTCCTAGTGACCACTCGATCCATGGTCGTGATTGATTCCCAAGAATGGAAACATCATACTTTAACAAAGTTAACCCCGGATGACAGTTGGGATCTCTTGAAAGAGAATGTTTTTGGTAAAGAGGGATGCGATACTCGGTTATTTAAGGAATATGGGAAAGAGATAGCAAATAAATGCAATGGGCTACCACTTGCTATAAGAGTGATAGCCGGCATCCTATCTAATAGTAGAAGTATTGCTGATTGGGAACGAATAGCTAAAAATCCTTTTCTAGAAATTAATCGGGAAGACCAAAGCTACCATGAGCTAATAATGTTGAGTTATGAACATTTGCCTAATGAGAAGTTAAAAAATTGCTTCTTATATTTTGCATCGTTTCCCATGGGATATGTGATTGCTGTTTGGAAGTTGATTCGTTTGTGGATTGTTGAAGAATTCATTCCAACAATTGATGAGTGGGGATATCCTTTAGACATGGAAGTTGAAGCTCAGAAATATTTGAATGTTCTCATGGATAGGAATCTTGTGATAGTGATGAAAAGGAGAGTGAATGGTCAAATCAAAACATGCCGCATCCATGACGCATTGCATGAGTTCTGCAAAAGTGAGGCAGCAAAGAAAAATCTGTTCCGCGTAATGGATGATGGACAAAGATTAGATGCAAATACTGTTTCATCTCGTCGTCTTTGTTTCTACTCCCCTACTGTGTCTACAAACAGATTTGGTGCAAAAAGTAGTAATAATCCATCTTCTTCCTTCTTGAGTTGCTACAACAAAAAGAGAGGAACATGTCCATCCGGTGAGCGTGTATATACTTTGTTGTTATCTTCCATACAAAAAGATGAGATTCAATTGGAAGGTGAGACCGAATCAGTACTGCCTTATAATAAGACCACCCACTTATTCACAAAAGGCAAATTCTTTCGTCGAAGGGACTCCTACACCCAGGTCCGACAGAACTTGTTGACTGCGATATGGCCGATACCAAACACCTTCCCACTTCTTAGGGTGTTAGATATTGAATCCCTCAAGCTGAAGTCTGTGCCTGATGAGCTCTATGACTTGAATCTTCTGAGGTATCTAGCTATCACGGTTGACATTGATCTCCTGCCCAAGCAATTCAGAAGGCTTCGTGACTTGGAGACTCTTGTATTTAGAACCACGAAACATACACTACAAATTGAGGGAGGTATATGGAACATGAAAAAGTTAAGGCATGTGCACACCAACACTTCTACTCAGTTGCCCTCTCCTCCCAAAAACTACAGCTTAGAAAACTTAGACATCCGCACACTTTGTTCCATATCACCGGCATGTTGCAAGGAAGAGATTATCAGCAAGACCACCAAACTCCAAACATTGAATATTAGTGGGAATTTAGAAGAGCTTTTGGAGGAAAAGCAACCAGGAACTTCTTTGTTCAAAAATCTTCAAATGCTTGATTGCCTTGAAAACTTGAAACTCCATGGCCTGTCCAACAAAGAGTTAACGATGCCGCATGACAAGTTTCCACTCAAGATCAGAAATTTGACTCTATCTAATACATTGTTTAAGTGGGATGATATGAGTAAATTGACATCACTGGACAAGCTTGAGATGCTGAAGTTGGAAGAAAATTGTTGCAAGGGGGAACGTTGGGATCTAAACAGAGAAGTTGTTTTCAAACAACTCCAGTATTTGCGGATTGGGAGGACAAACTTAGTAACTTGGAAAGTTGTTGAAAAAAACTTTCCTGCTTTAGAACGTCTGGTCCTCAGGAATTGCACTGCACTACAAGAAATCCCAGCTGCCTTTGCCAAGGTATACAGCCTTAAAGTGATGGAACTGTTTCGCGTGAGTAATAGTGCAGCTAAATCTGCAAAAGAGCTTCATGACCGACTACTAAGTGAAAACAAAGAAGTCAAAAGCAGCACCGGGTCCAATTCCAAGCATTCTGACCAACTGCAAAGCCATGAAAATGAAGAAGTCAAAAGCAACACCGGATCCAATCCCAAGCTTCCTGACCAACTGCAAAGCCATGACAACGAAAAAGTCAAAAGCACCATGGTATCTGATCCGCCTCCTGACCAACTGCAAAGCCATGAAAATGAAAAAGTCAAAAGCCGCAGGGTATTCAATCTCGTCATCAACTCTGTTTCCTCACAAATTGCAGTAAGTTTCTATTTTCCCCTGCCCTTCTATTATTTTGGTTGGTTGGTTGGTAGGAGCTTTTTAACATGCCATAAAAAGACATCTTAACATTACTGATCTAATTTAAAAGTTTTTGCAATCTAAGACCATAATTGAATCAACAATTCTTAGGGGTGAAGTTTGGTAAGAATAATTGGTACTTTTCTATATTATGCTTATTCTAAATGTAATAAAGTAAAAATATAAAATATAAATAAATAAAAGAGTAAAAGGTGATTTTTCAAATTTTAATGTCGACACTTTTTTACTAGGGTCCAAATTTAAATTAAAAAAAAAAAAAAAAAAAAAAAAAAAAACAACAGTGCCAGCCACCCGGCATAGTAAAATTGAGGGAGTAAGTATTGGAGTAACTCTTTCCTACCCTGACAGAGCGTTTGGTTGGAAGGAAGGAATTAAGAGGAAAAAGAATTGTAATTCGGTGGGAATAAAGTAGGAATTCAAATTAAGTTGTTTGGTGGGAGAAATAGAATTATTATAATTGAGAAGGAAAGAAATGGTAGACTAAAATATCCGTGTGCAATAATAATAGTAATAATTACCAAGGATAGTAGTGTCATTTCATCTACTTTTCCTTTCTCACATCCATTGAATTGCAATTCAACAAAAGGAGGGAATTGCAATTCACTCAAACCAAACAACGTAATTAAAGCCTCCATTGAATTCCAATTCAATTACAGCTAAATTATAGTGAACCAAACACCTCATCTATCTCCAGTCTCCTTTTGACAGAACCCCTAAACACGGGAAATTAATATGATAAACTTAATTTGAATGAGTAAGAGTTAATGTTCCAAAAAGGACACACACACACTCTCTCTCTCACACACACACACTCTCTCTCTTACACACACACACACGTGAGAACAAATCGTGTGCATTCATCTAATTGCCTAGATTATATTAAGTGTGTGCAAACGCACTTAATCGCGTTTGCACACATTTAATTCGGACTTATTATATATATATATATATATATATATGTATGTATGTATATAAAATAACAGAAGTGCCTAACCCAAATTTAAGACATTTTTTTAATATCAATCGCTTGGACAAAAATGTCATTTAAAATTAAATTTAATTACACGTTCTTTTCATATGATAATTTTATGTTAATTTCAACTTGAGTTTATTTTTCTCTTTTTCTTTTTGTAAAAATAAAACTAATGTATAAAAAATATATTATTAAAAAGCTCTAATCAAGATCTTTTGAATCTAATAGGTACATGAAGGCATTACTTTAATATAATATTTATATACATTAAATTTTGTTTTTATTAACATATAGAAATAACATTATGAACTTACTATAAAATGAATGAAAATACATATGATGTACATTTAGTTTCAGATTTTTGGATATTACAGCTTATGCTTATAAACATGTAGAGTAAATTTCACTTTTAGTCCACTGACTATTATACATGAATCACATTTTGTTCTTGACTATTAAAATTTTCTAATTAGGTGCATGACTATGTAATTTGTATCACATTTAGTCCTGCCATCCAATTTTTAAGCCAACTATTGTCGCAAGTGTTCCTTCCGGAATAAGTAAATGCATGCAGTGCTCATTCCAGAAGTGGTCATTCCGGAAGAAGCAAATGCAACACTACCTGCAATAGTTAGCTGGGATATTGGACGACAAGACCAAATGTGATACAAATTACATAATCATGGACCTAATTAGAAAATTTTAATAGTCAAGAATCAAATGTGATTATTAATATATAATAGTCAAGGGACCAAAAGTAAATTTTTTTTCTAAATATTATGAACATAGTACGAGATGAATGTTATTAAACATGATGAACCTATAGTAATATTTTTAAATCCAAAGGAAGGGTGATACCCATATATTTAAGGATGATAAGAGTTCAGAAACTGTCCTACAAGGCGATATAGCGCCAAAACGGAAAGAAGTTACAATCATTTTCTAAGAAAGGAACGATTTCTGTTGGAGGCTGAGAAAGAACATGAACGTCGCGAGGCCCACTAATCCAATAATTAACTAATGAATTAATATGTGATGCATTATGCTAATTAACGTGCAGGTTATTAATCTTTCATTAATAATAATTAGATAATTAGATATATATAATAATTAAGTAATAAATATGTTTAGGAAAGTATATATATCTTGTTAGTTATAAATAAAAGAAGTTTCCTAAAAAATACAAATCTTAGATATTTTGCAAAAAATGACTCAATTAATACTGATTTTAGTTTTTAATGATGTGTCATCTCCTCATTCACCGCCGGTGTATAGCATCTATACATCAACGGTGCATCAAATATTAATCATTGATGTAAAACGATGTCGTTTTGGACCAAGATCCACCATGGAAGGTGGCCTTGTTTCACCATAGATGCAACACACATGGCTTGCATTTACTAAAGAAATATATTATCTTGGAAACCTTAAACAATACACATTGTCTGCTAATATTACATTATATTTAGTGTAATAGTTTAGTATATGTAAATTCTAATACTTTTGGGCAGCCAAATACATTAATTGTTGTGCTGACTACATTTAATTAAAATTTTCAAATTGAAAATTTGTGTCCAACAAAGTCACTTTTTGCATTCTAGCTTTTAGATGTCCCTTAGCTGGCTTATAAATACCAACAAATTAGGTTCAGTTTTTTGTGGTTTTTTAGTATGGTTCTCTTTGTATGTCCATGGTATTTTTATAGTTTGACAAGTGATGGGGATATGGTCTTTATTTATTTATTTATTATTATTTATTTAATCCCAACACTAAGAGCTCGTTTGGTTCGTGGAAAATATTTTAAGGGAAATGAAATTGAAATTCCATGGAAAAATAATTACTAGGAAGATGAATTTCATTGTTTGGTTGGTGGAAAAAGAATTACTGGGAATACTAATTATATTGTTTAGTTAGATTTGAAATTGTAAGGAATAACGAGTATAAAGACTTATATGCCTCTACAAATTAATAAGAGTAATATAGAAAACAATGGTAAAATAGGCAATTCATATCACTTTTTCTTCTCATCTTTCATGGAAAACGAAATCCTTGGTCCAACCAATGATTTTGTTTTCCTCAAATTTGAGGAATTCATTTTTCAATGGAAAATGAATTCAATGAACCAAACACTAGAAAACAACATTTCCTCCACTTTAAGGAAAATATTTTCCTTTGGAAAACATTTTCCATGAACCAAACATCCCCTAAGTCAGTATAAAGCAAAATTTGATATTAGGTACTATACATACTTTATTATAATGAGATATTGTTAGAATATTATATAATATTTTGAATATTTATTTATTTATTTACATTGTTTAAATTTGATAAATAATATAATTATTGAACATATGTTACTATCTGTGCATCGCACGGGTGCTATACTAGTAATAATAATATAATAAGCGTTACATTTAGAAGTAGTCTTTTATAATTATCATTATTCCCATGTCTTATTTTTGCAATTCTTAAAGGCTGCAGGGGCTGACATAGTGGGTTTTGATGATGAGGTGAAAATTGTGAAGGATCGTCTTAGAGGAGGGTCAAAGAATTTAATAATCATCTCAATTGTGGGGTTATTAGGACTTGGCAAAACTACATTAGCTACAATGTTGTTTAATGATTATGAGCTTCAGTGTGAATTCTTCACTCGTATTCAGCTTGATATTCCAGAAGCTTTTAATGTCAAAAAGGTATTCATTGACATTTTACGTGAGTTAACTGATAAAGTCGACAAATATAATACCATGCCTGAGGAGAAATTGGCTTGCAAAATAAAAGAATTTTTGGAAGGTCAGAAGTATTTTATTGTAATAGATAATATACGAACAACTGAAGAATGGGACTCTCTGAAACCTGCTTTTCCTGACAATATTAGAGGCAGTAGAATCTTGGTAACCACTCGACACTATGAAGTGGGTTTTTGTGTTGATTCTGCCTGTAATCCTCACCGCCTCAAATTTTTGACGGATGAAAAATCCCTGCAGTTATTAGAGAAGAATGTTTTACAAGGAACCCTGAAGGATTCTGATAAAGAAAAATGTTCTAAGTTGTTCAAAGTTCATGGTAGGAACATATCAACAAAATGCAAAGGAATACCATCTGTAGTGAAGCTGATAGCCAATGTCCTTAAAAAAAAAGAGACATCTGAGGTCGAGTGGGAACAAATAGCAGAAGACCCTTGGGCAATTTTTGGTCACTTGGATGAAAATTACAATAATCCACTCGCACAATTCATTTTTGATGAAATGGATTTGGAGTTGAAGGATTGCTTTCTATACCTTGCAGCTTTCCCTGAAGGACATGAGATTACTGCCTGGAAACTGATTTGGTTGTGGATAGCTGAAGGGCTGTTTCTGGTAGAGGATACATACACTTTAGACTGGGAGTGTATTGGTGAGAAATACTTAAATAATCTTGTTGACATGAATCTTCTAAAGGTGATGAAAAGAAGAGCGGATGGCCAAATCAAAACATGTTGCATTGGTCCCAGGTTGCATCAGCTTTGCAAAATTGATGCCGCCAATAAGAATCCTGATGCTGCCAATAAGAACCCCGATGCTGCCAATAAGAACCCTGATGCTGCCGCCAATAAGAACCCCGATGCTGCCAATAAGAACCCTGATGCTGCCGCCAATAAGAACCCTGATGCTGCCAATGAGAATCCTGATGCTGCCAATAAGAACCCTGATGCTGCCGCCAATAAGAACCCTGATGCTGCCAATGAGAATCCTGATGCTGGCAATAAGAATCCTGTTCACGAAAAGGATGGAAGTGAATCAAGTGATAAGCCTGCAGAGGTAAACAAAATTGATTGCCGTCGCATATGCATCAAATCCTCTGTTCTGAACTTCATACAATCAGAAATGAAATCAGCTAGTAAACATGTTGATTCTTTCTTATGTTTTTGCTCCGAAGAGATATCAAATATTGAGCTGTTGGCAACCATTCCAAAATCCTTTCCTGCTCTTAGGGTCGTGGATATTGAATCCCTCAAACTCAAATCACTGCCCGAAGAACTGTATCACCTCTATCATCTCAGGTACCTTGCAGTATCTACTGATGGCATGCAACGCCTTCCCCAGGACTTCAATAAATTTGAGAACATGCAGACACTTGTGTTCAATACCTCACAGTCACAGGGTGATAGTCTTGAAGTTGAGGCAGATATATGGAGCTTGACTAAATTAAGGCATGTGCGCACTAACACTTGTATGCAGTTGCCTCTTCCTTCAAGCAACACTGGAAGTACAGGCATACGAGCACTTTCTTTCATCTCGCCTTCAAGCTGCACTGCAGAGATTTTAGGCAAGACACCATATCTTCAAAAGTTGGGAATTCGTGGAAATATAGTTGAGCTTATACATATGGCGGAGAGCAAGGAAGGAAGGAATTCCCCCTTGTTCGAAAATCTTGGAAAGTTAAGTAGGCTTGACAATCTGAAGCTGCTGAATAATGGTGGGCGGCCTGGCGAACTGCAGAGTGTTCCTCAGCACGTCATGTTTCCACAAAGTCTAAGAAAGCTGACATTGTCAAACATGTGGTTGGAGTGGAAGGACATGCGTATACTAGGGGCACTGAATAAGTTAGAGGTCCTCAAATTAAAGGAACATGCATTCATGGGGGAGTATTGGGAACTCAACACTGTTTTCAAACAGCTCCGATTCTTGATGATTGGAAGGACTGATTTAGTAGTGTGGAAAACTTCCGCCAGTTGCTTTCCGAAGTTAGAAAAGCTCATCCTTAAGGACTGCACTCACCTCAGTGAAATCCCACCCAACTTTGCTGTGATACCCAACTTTAAGCAGATGGAATTATATGGCACAAATGAAGGGGCTGCAAATTCGGCTGAGAAGATACAAGAGGAACAATACAAGCAGGGAACCTATCAGTTTAAGCTCTTGATCGGTCCTCCCCATAATCCAGAAGAGGTCAGTCGTCCAAGTCCTCAATCTTGTTACCTATGTTCTTTTTTATTTAAAAGGAGAAAAAAATAATACCCATCACCTATTGCTCTAAGCATTTGAAGTGTTAATTATTTTCTAAAAAGTGATATTGTAATTTTTTTTTTTTTTTTTACAGGCGTGTTCGTCCAGTACCAGTAGTGTAGTGTTGCTTTCAGAAATAAAAAGGTCAAATTAAAGTTGATGCTGCATATGTGTTAAAAGGTTTGTCTGTTGTCATATCACTCTATTGAGTTTTTGTTTATGCATGGATTGGATTCGAATAGAGGCATCTGGGCCTTCTTGTCCTCAATTTCAACTTGGTTCGTTGTTATCTCTGCTCTAAATTTCTTATTATGATTTGTTCAGATTTATGGTTGAATTCCCAAGCATGGAGTGGCTGGCTCTATTCATGCTGGAGCAGAAGACGTGTTTGCTATTTCATATTGTACTCAGATTGTTACGTTTCTGGACAATCGTGATAAGACTTTGAGTTTTGGCGTTGCAGTACTCAACTCTCAATTGCTGTTTTCTTTAGTTGTATTGGCAGTTTCGAATTTGGTTGTGCTAGTAATTGACTCATTTTGGTGATTGTGAAACAACTAAATAACAAAACTCCTTTGGCATTTCATTTTGATACTCCTATTTTTAGGTCACAGGAAACTCAGTCATTATATATTAATGGTCTGGTGTGCACTGATGAATAATTCAACATACACTATTATTGATTGATGTGATAATTATTGTGTATCTAAACTTTCTTTTTGCTTAAAATAATTGCATATCTGAAGTCTAGTTGAATTATGCAATTTTTTCTAGGAGATTGCTAAGGGTGGCTAAGGCAATCAGGTTGCAGAACCTTGTGGTTAGCACTTTGCCCATGCAACCAAACCTACATTTTCTACAGAAATTACTTAGCCATCTCGAAGTTGGTTAACACTTAAACACTTGAATTCCAGGAATCTCAATCTCTTTATTTTGTTTTCAAAACCCTGAATCACTGTTTTATTTTATTTATTTAATGCAACTATCCAAGTCTATCGTTAGGATTAGCTTTAATGAATAAATTAGTAACTAGTGTTTAATACAACCACTTCCTTGTAAATCGATTATCCGATACTTCGAGTATTATTTGTTTGCAAATATACTACAATCATCAACCTTATTATATTTTCTTCCCAAAGGAAAATAAAATATCACCCTTGTGCACATAATTTGTTTTCCTCTACGTACTTTCATGAATTTATTTTCCAATGAAATTTGAATTTCATGAACCAAACAACATAAAGCCACATTTTCCTAGATTTTTTTTTGACATTTAGAAAAACATGTTTCATGAAAATTGTTTTCTATCCAACCAAACATCCCTAAGAGGAGTGAGGAATTTTTTGGCTTTTGGTCATCCAGTCAAAATTGACCCAAATTGGAATTCACTATAAAATAAATATGAATTCACTATATAAGATGTATATTCAGATGAATGACTAAGAAAAAAAAAAGTTGGAAATCATGGAGTAAAAAAACGCAGAGTCAATATTTTACTTCACGACGCATGCACCAAAATGAATCTACAATTTTCATAAAGCAGCCCACACACCCAGAATAACAAAAATAACAAAATTTCCCGCGGTGGAAATCAAAGGATATATAGTAACAACAAATTAACCAACAATACATAGTCCCTCTTGAGAATTGAAGATGGAAAAGAAGGACAATGGTATGGCAGCATGCAAGATATTCACGTACGCCACTGAATGGTCAGAAACCACATGAATGCATCGTCTCTGATCTGAAGTAACCATAATAACAAAGTTAGGCATTCAATGCATAAATAGTCAATTAAGCTGAGAAAACAAACAATTAAGTGCAATTGTGAGAAATATATATATATATATATATATATATATATATATATATATATATATATATATATATATATATATATATATATATATAATATTGTTGTGGGGCTAATATGGTACATAAATAATTCAGGGAAAAAAACACTAGAAGCATATAATTTAGACGGATCGAAAAATTGTCATTTTCCCATACAAATGGGAATGGCATCCAGAACAAGAGATTTTATAAAGAATTTGGCTAACCTGTAGTGAACTTATTGATCAAGTCATTCTTCAAAAATTTTAGCTGGTGGGGTTACCCGTAGACGACGCATGAGAAGCCACATCGTGGACGCGAGTGGTTAACAAGACTCTACTGCCTTTGTTATTGTTGGGAAAAGCAATTTGTAAGCAGTCCCAATCTCTCTCCGTACACACATCGTCTACTACTATAAAATACTTCCCGTTCTCCAAGTATTCTTTTATTTTATCAGCTAACTTCTCTTCCAACATGCCTTGAAACTCTTTGGTGTTTTTGGTGAAGTTACTCAAAATGTCAAGAAATATCTGCTTTAAGTTCATCATTTTCGAGACACAAACCCAAAGACAAGTGAAAAATTCATATTGAATCTCGTAGTCATCAAAAATCACTTTACTTAAAGTGGTTTTGCCGATCCCCGCCATTCTCTCAATTGAGATGACCCTCAAATGAGCTGGTCCCTTGATAAGACGATCCTTTATTAATTTTGCCTCACTATCAATGCCCACTGCATCAACTTCTTCCATCATCACCGGAGCCTTTAACAATTATTAAAAAAAAAAAAAAACATTAAGATTATAAAATAATGATAAATAAATATAATGAGTCCACTTCAATTGTTGACGCAGTTGTAAATCTAGTCCATGTGTTTTAATTGGTATAAATCTAGTCATTCAATTATTAATAAGTTTTAAATCTAGTACTTCAAATGAATGACTAGATTTGCAACTAGGTCAACAATTGAAGGATTACAATTTATTTCAACTTGATATACAACAATTGAAAGAAAGGAACGACATTTGTAACTTGGAAACAATTGCGAGATTAAAAATGTCATTTTCCCTAAATTTTATCTTTTTAGAAAAGACATTTTTTCCTTATTTCTAAACATAAAAATACATGTAATTTCATATATACTTCGTAATCTACTAATCTAATCTAATAATATAATATAATAAGAACAAATAAAGTTAGACCCGGAAACTAAAAACTGTTGGTCATATTATTTGTTGAAATGAATGGTTTATGTTATTTTGATTTTAGTTTTTTTTTTTATTATTATTTTTCATACTTTACCTTTTATTATATAATTTGCTTTTTCCTAAACACCATCGCATTCCATTAATATAAACTTTAGTAATGGAATATTTTGTGAACTATATTTATTATTTTTAACTTACTCATTGATTTTAATAAGGAAGGTTTTAGGTTCGAACCCGATACCAATCAAATTGGCATAATTGTCGAACATATACCATGAATATGTTAGAGTGTATTAAAAAACAATATAAAATTTAATATCAACTTCGGTCAATTAATTAGCCAGACTATATAATTGCATTCAAAGTTGAGCATCAAAGAATAAATAAGGAACCTTGAAAATCATTTTATTGCATTTAAAAAAAAAAAACAAATAATGGTTAAGTTTTTTTCCTTTTTTTTTTTAATTAATCTTCTTTTGATTATTTAGAACAAGACTCAATATTTTAATATACTTTTGCATTATTGAAAATGATTTAGGTCAGTATGGTGTTAATATTTTGTCTGTATTTTTATAATGGTACAATTATACATTATTTTACAAATATTGTACTATTAATATTTTTATTGGACAAAATTATTCTTACATCATTAAAGTTCCATTTATGTATAAGCTTTGCTGGTAATGAAATATTCATTTAACTTATTGTTATTCTGGACTTGACTAATTACGAAATAATTTTCAACTTTTTACTAATAATAATAATGGACATTATTATTATTATTATTATTATTATTATTATTATTATTATTATTATTATTATTATTATTATAACAATTAAACTAGTCTACACAAAAGGAACTCATGGGATTTTTAATTTTTTTTTTTCTATTCTGTTTGAAACTATTTTCTCATTTGAGGTAAGAACTAAATATAATAATATTTTCATAATTTGATTTGTTTCTTTCAACTATTAAAAAAAATGTGATAAATACTATTTTTTGAATCGTCACCTTAAAAGAATACGAATTTATTATAGCACAAATTTTAATTTTCTATTTTGAATATATATATATATATATATATATATATATATATATATATATGAGAATATACATTTTATTAAAACTTGATCTACCATGTTTGTCCATACAAATTTTTTATCTACATAAAGAATTTTTTTTTTTGAAAAATACTTAAAGAATTTAAATGCAAAATTTTCATTATCTAATCAATCCTATTGAAAAATTTTAGTATTTCAAAATATCAATGAAAGTTTACAAAAGAAAGAGTTCACATATAACATCCTAACAACAATTGAAACCTCAATCATATACATAGAGAAAACTTATAAATTCGTATGCTATAACTTTATTACATAAATCTTTAATTACTCATCAATAACATTAGTAAGCCTATTTATAAATATGTCACCTTTCAACAAAATTAAGTTACATTTTACCAATTCATTAATGATCATCAAAATCACATTAAGAAGAATTAATTTTAATTCAATATTTAAATTATTAGGACATAGTTTTTGTTTTCGATCATAACTATTTACAACATTAGTCATCTTTATTACTACTTTTATCACAAGTTAAAAATACTCATTTGCATAATGTTGAAAGTAATAAATTCTAATTTATATTATTAATTTTCATATTTAAAAATTATATTAATTATATAATTATTTTAATTTTTAAAGTAGACATTAATTCAATCACGCAATGCGTGTACTATAACTAGTAGTAACTTATAAATTTGAACTTTTTACTTATCTACGTACTCCTGCAATCCACCCATCCACCCACTTATCTAAATTTCAACTTTAATGTTGAATAAAATACCAGGACTATGTGGTCTAATGGTACTGGGTTGGACTTCCATTTGGAAGATTATGAGTTCAAGCCTCAGTGAATGTGTTATTGGTTCTTTGTGTTTCAGTAGGTTGAGAAAGTATATGAACAGATACTAGTCTGGGAAAAAAAAAGAGTGGTTTGTGGGACGCACCATGACATGAATAGCAGGTTGAGGTTGGCCGTGGTGATCTATGAGGGCCTGAAGAGCGGCGGCGTTAGATTCCCAGATTTCCCTAACTTTGTATCTGATGGCTTTGATCTCCTTAACAGAATCGCTAATCCTGGAAGAGTAATCCGACATTTCCAAGTATCTGAGCAACCCTTTGTCTTTGTGGTTCTTCTTCTCCACCGCGTACTTGCGGATGGCGTCCTCCGCCTCCATTACAACGTCGGAGATCTGGTCCACCAGCTCCCTCCGGTTTCTCGACGCCGGATCCAGATGCGCGATCAAGTTTTCCATTTCCACCAACAGACCGTCCACCTGGTTCTTTATCTCTTCCAGTAACGACTTGTTTTCGTCCACTACATGAACTAGCCGGTCCAAAAGCCGCCCTGCAACTGGATCTACCAAGCCCGCCATAGCTCAGCTCAGCGAAGATCAGATCTCCGGCGGACCCCGCCTGATGCTGCGTTAGTTAACTCGATCAGTATGTGAAACATTAGCTTGCTTAGCTTGTATGTATCCTAGAAAGACTTCATTCTCCTATCGTCAACTGCGTATTAGAGTTAATTACCAAAATAGTCCCTTGACTATAGCGAAATTACCAATTTGGTTATTGACTATTTTTTTAACTAATTAAGTCCTTATATTTTAAAATTTTTAATCAATTTGGTCCTCCGTTTGTTTGACCGTTAGTCAACCGTTAACTTGGGACCAAATTGGTAATTTCGCTATAGTCAAGGGATCATTTTGATAATTAATTTTAGGGGTGGACAATTCGATTTAGTTTTCTCTAATCGAACCGAATTGGTTCGGTAATTTACCGAACAATCGAATGGTATTGAATACTTGTATACTGGACGGTTTGATAAAAAACCGATCCGAATTGTTCGATAAAAAATTGAACTGAACCGAATACCGTTTGATTTTTTTTTAAATATAATAATAATAATAATAATAATAATAAATAAATAAATAAATATATATATATATATATATATATATATATATATATATATATATATATATATATATATATATATATATATATATATATATATATATATATATATATATATATATATATAAAGTAAATCAAATTCCATTGCTGCTTGCTCTGCCGTTCAACTCATATTTTCACAGGTATCTCTCGTAAATGTTTGATTTGATTTCTTTATGGTTTGTTATCAAAAGTTCTCAAGAATCTATTACCCTTCGGTTGTTCGGTATACTACCGAATCTAACTAGTTTGGTACGGTTCGGTTCGAGAAAACTAAATCGAATTGTCTACCCTTAAAGTTATTTACTAAAATGATCTTTTAACTATAGCGAATTACCAATTTGGTCCCAAGTTAACGGTTGACTAACGGTCAAACAAACAGAGGACTAAATTGGTTAGGATTTTTAAAGTTGAGGGACTTAATTAGTCAAAAAAATAGTCAAGAATCAAATTGATAATTTCACTATAGTTAAGGGGTCATTTCGATAATTAACTCTACGTATTATAAGACAGATTAATTATTGGAGCGCGTAGACAGCCTTCAGCATATCTTCCAATGGATTATTTCGTTTCCTTAATGAATAAGATAATTTAGAACTCTAAAGCATACGGCGTGGCAGCGCAATTAGTGGAGAATTTCATCAAACCGCTTCCATCGGCGAGAGCATTGTCCGAAGACCTCATCATGGCGCAAAAAAAGGGAAAATGAATGGTGGAAAATGATTCGTGACATGTATAAATAGTGGCAAAGTTTTCTTTGTTAAATTGTTTATTATTCTCCTCTCAATTATTCTTTAAAATTGTTATTAATGATCATTCGTGACTAATTTTGTTAGTTTAGTTTAGTGAATTAAAGCTCCGGAATTGATTATGCTGTAAGATTATTTATTTATTTTTATTATATATGTTTTTATGCATTTGAGTATTAAATATTCTTCTAAATTATTTGAATAGTTATATCATTTAATTGCTAGGAGGCCTACTAGTTATTTATTTGATATAATTATTTGCTATATTAGTTAATGTTGTGTTACAAATTATTCTAATATTCAGTAGCAACTGAGGTTAATTATTGACAGTTTAGTGATAATTGGTCTCGGATATAATATTTTCCTAAATTAAATGCAATCGCGTGTGCTTGTGTTATATAGTTTGTCGATTTTCCTAGTTCCTATTACTGCTATTAAATTAAATCTATAGTGCTTGTCTTAGGTTATTTAGTAGTTAGGGGTAATTAAACCGCGTGTGCTTTAGTTACCTTCAACTAAGAAAAACGGAAATGAAATAATTTGACAACAAATATTCAATTGCATATTAATTACTTTTTGAATCAATGATCAGTGTTAAATTCTGGTGGTAGATCTTTACTAACCAATGTTTTCTATTATAAGTGCTTTCAATATATTATTCTCATTGCTTTATTCGTTCATTTAAATTTCTTCTTTATTTAAATTCTCTTTTATTTAATCTTTATTCTCGTTATATACCAAACCCACCATCATTTTCTTAAGCACAAAAGTTAGCCTAGTTACTCCTTGTGGGATCGACCCTTACTCCCGCTACTACGTTTGTAAGGTTCTAATTTGGGAGCCTACGTCAGCTCACCAAATTTAAGATTGGGCCATGGTTACTCAACTGGGCTATAATGCACATGGGCCAAACCACACTAAAAGATTGAATCCAACCAATTAGCTAGTCTAACCCATATGTTCTCTCTGATGTGGGACTCTAACATCCGGGCCATTTTGAATCTAACCGGTTGACCACTTGAAATTGGACCAGACCCTCCCCTGAAACGAAAGTTCTGTGAACCCAAAGTGGATCAAACAGGCTCTGATACGACCGAACACCCATAACCGGGTGCCCTAAAACGAAAGCTCTAGATGCCACCAATACCCATAACCGGGTGAACCCAAAGTGGACGCCACCAATACCCATAACCGGGTGAACCCAAAGTGGACCGAACAGGCTCTGATACGACCGAACACCCATAACCGGGTGAACCCAAAGTGGACTGAACAGGCTCTGAACCCAAAGTGGACCGAACAGGCTCTGATACGACCGAACACCCATAACCGAGTGAACCCAAAGTGGACTGAACAGGCTCTGAACCCAAAGTGGACCGAACAGGCTCTGATACGACCGAACACCCATAACCGAGTGAACCCAAAGTGGACCGAACAGGCTCTGATACGACCGAACACCCATAACCTGGTGAACCCAAAGTGGACCGAACTTGAAATTGGACCAGACCCTCCCCTGAAACGAAAGCTCTGGACGCCATCAATACCCATAACCAGGTGAACCCAAAGTGGACTGAACAGGCTCTAATACCCATAACCGGGTGAACCCAAAGTGGACCGAACAGGCTCTGATACCATGTTATAATTTAAGATTGGGTCATGGTCACTCAACTGGGCTATAATGCACATGGGCCAAACCACACTAAAAGATTGGATCCAACCAATTAGCTAGTCTAACACATGGCCTTATAAACCCATATGTTCTCTCTTATTTTATAGATGTGAGATTCTTAACACTCCCATATGTTCTCTCTTATTTTATAGATGTGGGACTCTTAACAATATACTACAAATTGATGGCAGTATATGGAACATGGAAAACCTAAGGCATGTTAACACCAACACTTGTACTCATTTGCCTTCTCCTCCCAAAAACTACAGCTCAGCAAACTTAGACATCCGCACACTTTGTACCATATCACCAGCAAATTGCAAGGAAGAGATCATTAGCAAGATCCCCTTGCTCCAAACATTGAACATTAGTGGGAATTTAGAAGAGCTTTTGGAGGAAAAACAGTCAGGAACTTCTTTGTTTAAAAATCTTCAAATGCTAGATTGCCTTAAAAACTTGAAACTCCATGGCCTGTCCAACAAAGTGTTAAGGATGCCGCATGACAAGTTTCCACTCAAGCTCAGAAAATTGATTTTATCTAATACATTGTTTAAGTGGAATGATATGAGTAGATTGGCATCACTGGACAAGCTTGAGGTGCTGAAGTTGGAAGAAAATTGTTGCAAGGGGGAACATTGGGATCGAAACAGTGATGTTGTTTTCAAACAACTCTAGTATTTGTGGATTGGGAAGACAAACTTAGTAACTCGAAAAGAAATAGCAGAAGACCCTTGTGCAATTTTTGGTCACTTGGATGGAAATTACAATAATCTACTCGAACAATTCATTTTTTATGAAATGGATTTGGAGTTGAAGAATTACTTCCTATACCTTGTTGCTTTTCCTGAAGGGCATGAGATTACTACCTGGAAACTGATTTGGTTGTGGATAGCTGAAGGGATGTTTGTGGTAGAGGATGATGGATACACTTTAGACTGGGAGTGGACATGTGAGAAATACTTATATAATCTTGTTGACACGAATCTTCTAAAGGTGATGAAAAGAAGAGCTGATGGCCAAATCAAAACATGTCGCATTAGTCCCAAGTTGCATCAGCTTTGCAAAATTGAAGCTGCCAATAAGAACCGTGTTCACGAAATGGATGGAAGTGAATCAAGTGAGAAGCTTGCAGAGGTAAACAAAACTGATCGTCGTCGCATATGCATCAAATCCTCTGTTCTGGACTTCCTAAAATTAGAAAAGAAATTAGCTAGTAGTAAACATGTTGATTCTTTCTTATGTTTTTGCTCTGAAGAGATACCAAATGATGAGCACTTGGCAACCATTCCAAAATCCTTTCCTGCTCTTAAGGGGGTGGATATTGAATCCCTCAAGCTCAAATCACTGCCGAAAGAACTCTATCACCTCTTTTATCTCATGTACCTTGCAGTATCTACTGATGGCATGCAACGCATTCCCCGGGACTTCAATAAATTTGAGAACATGCAGACACTTATGTGTTCAATACCTCACAGTCACAGGATTATGAGCAAACACCAGACGAAACTGAAGCTCAAATGGCCTAAGCAGTACCCGATAGACCGTATAACTCACGTGTCAACCTGTATAACCCACATGTTGGTTGTTTAAATTTAAATGTAATTTGTATTAGAATTTAAAATGCCTTAAAAAAAAGTATTAGAATTTAAAAGTATTCTTAATTGTAATAATTGAACTCTTAACCTCTCATTTAATCTAACCTAACAATACCAATTATGCTAAAAGTATTTGTTGAACTTTTTTGTATAACTATAAATTTATTTAAATCATTCACAAAAAATATTATATTTATTACAAGTATTACTTAATACCGATTAATTGTAACTTTATATAAATATCAATATAATTATATATCACTTCTATAATAAAATTTTTAAAAAAAAAAAAAAAACTTTAAGTGATTCGAGCTATCAGGCTGACCCGTTTAGACCACCGAATTTATCTATTTTGGACTTATCCAGGCTGATTCTTTTATGGGGGTAAAATATGTTGGGCCAAACTCTAATTTTTTTTTTTTTTTTAATTTTATCAGGCCAATCCATCAAGTTTGGACTAAGATTAGACATCCTACCTAGTAAATAGTCCATAAT